CAGCGCAAAGTCAGGAACGCAGACGAGGCACTTTGGTTTCGGTGGTTTGGGCGGTTATGGCGGCTACGGCGGTTTTGGCGGTTTGGGCGGATTTGGTGGTTACGGCGGTTATGGCGGTTACGGCGGTTATGGCGGTTATGGCGGTTATGGCCATAGATATCCTTATGGACAGTACTATGGTTGAGATTATCCGGCCAAGATGATCGCTTCGGTGGAACTGAGTTCGGTTATTGCCTAATTGGTATTTTTTTCACATTCATTGAAGGTCTTTCGTTTTCTTTTTCACCATCTCTGTAATCAAAAAGTTTTTTTTTCTCACTTTTTTATCTAAGGCCTTTTATTTTCATTTCATCTAATTAATCTGATGTATGGTTCGCAATAAATTTTGTCTGAGCAATTTTGTGTTTTGTTTCAACGTGAGGGGAAGTTAAGTATCATATGATGGTCAAATAAGAAAAAGTACTAATGTTTCATATTACTTCTTGATTCTCAGAAGAAAAACTTTTACCATTACCTTTCTTGGTAAAAAAATAATAATAATAATAATGATAAAAAAGGAAATGAATAAAATAATAATAATAATACATCACTATTACATAAACAGTTTCTTTCGTTTGTCTTCCATACATTAATGAAGATTTATAAAAAAAAAAAAAAAAAAATGTAAACCCTTTTACTAGGACTTACTTGTACTATAATTCGTCCAGTCTCAGAAAAGGAAAAACTGGCAACTCACAGTTAACTCTGAAGAACTCCAATTCGCTAAATCACTTGAGAAAAATAACTTTACCTTCCCTCCCCCCCCCCCCCCCCCCCCCCCCCCCCCCCCCCCCCCCCCCCCCCCCCCCCCCCCCCCCCCCCCCCCCCCCCCCCCCCCCCCCCCCCCCCCCCCCCCCCCCCCCCCCCCCCCCCCCCCCCCCCCCCCCCCCCCCCCCCCCCCCCCCCCCCCCCCCCCCCCCCCCCCCCCCCCCCCCCCCCCCCCCCCCCCCCCCCCCCCCCCCCCCCCCCCCCCCCCCCCCCCCCCCCCCCCCCCCCCCCCCCCCCCCCCCCCCCCCCCCCCCCCCCCCCCCCCCCCCCCCCCCCCCCCCCCCCCCCCCCCCCCCCCCCCCCCCCCCCCCCCCCCCCCCCCCCCCCCCCCCCCCCCCCCCCCCCCCCCCCCCCCCCCCCCCCCCCCCCCCCCCCCCCCCCCCCCCCCCCCCCCCCCCCCCCCCCCCCCCCCCCCCCCCCCCCCCCCCCCCCCCCCCCCCCCCCCCCCCCCCCCCCCCCCCCCCCCCCCCCCCCCCCCCCCCCCCCCCCCCCCCCCCCCCCCCCCCCCCCCCCCCCCCCCCCCCCCCCCCCCCCCCCCCCCCCCCCCCCCCCCCCCCCCCCCCCCCCCCCCCCCCCCCCCCCCCCCCCCCCCCCCCCCCCCCCCCCCCCCCCCCCCCCCCCCCCCCCCCCCCCCCCCCCCCCCCCCCCCCCCCCCCCCCCCCCCCCCCCCCCCCCCCCCCCCCCCCCCCCCCCCCCCCCCCCCCCCCCCCCCCCCCCCCCCCCCCCCCCCCCCCCCCCCCCCCCCCCCCCCCCCCCCCCCCCCCCCCCCCCCCCCCCCCCCCCCCCCCCCCCCCCCCCCCCCCCCCCCCCCCCCCCCCCCCCCCCCCCCCCCCCCCCCCCCCCCCCCCCCCCCCCCCCCCCCCCCCCCCCCCCCCCCCCCCCCCCCCCCCCCCCCCCCCCCCCCCCCCCCCCCCCCCCCCCCCCCCCCCCCCCCCCCCCCCCCCCCCCCCCCCCCCCCCCCCCCCCCCCCCCCCCCCCCCCCCCCCCCCCCCCCCCCCCCCCCCCCCCCCCCCCCCCCCCCCCCCCCCCCCCCCCCCCCCCCCCCCCCCCCCCCCCCCCCCCCCCCCCCCCCCCCCCCCCCCCCCCCCCCCCCCCCCCCCCCCCCCCCCCCCCCCCCCCCCCCCCCCCCCCCCCCCCCCCCCCCCCCCCCCCCCCCCCCCCCCCCCCCCCCCCCCCCCCCCCCCCCCCCCCCCCCCCCCCCCCCCCCCCCCCCCCCCCCCCCCCCCCCCCCCCCCCCCCCCCCCCCCCCCCCCCCCCCCCCCCCCCCCCCCCCCCCCCCCCCCCCCCCCCCCCCCCCCCCCCCCCCCCCCCCCCCCCCCCCCCCCCCCCCCCCCCCCCCCCCCCCCCCCCCCCCCCCCCCCCCCCCCCCCCCCCCCCCCCCCCCCCCCCCCCCCCCCCCCCCCCCCCCCCCCCCCCCCCCCCCCCCCCCCCCCCCCCCCCCCCCCCCCCCCCCCCCCCCCCCCCCCCCCCCCCCCCCCCCCCCCCCCCCCCCCCCCCCCCCCCCCCCCCCCCCCCCCCCCCCCCCCCCCCCCCCCCCCCCCCCCCCCCCCCCCCCCCCCCCCCCCCCCCCCCCCCCCCCCCCCCCCCCCCCCCCCCCCCCCCCCCCCCCCCCCCCCCCCCCCCCCCCCCCCCCCCCCCCCCCCCCCCCCCCCCCCCCCCCCCCCCCCCCCCCCCCCCCCCCCCCCCCCCCCCCCCCCCCCCCCCCCCCCCCCCCCCCCCCCCCCCCCCCCCCCCCCCCCCCCCCCCCCCCCCCCCCCCCCCCCCCCCCCCCCCCCCCCCCCCCCCCCCCCCCCCCCCCCCCCCCCCCCCCCCCCCCCCCCCCCCCCCCCCCCCCCCCCCCCCCCCCCCCCCCCCCCCCCCCCCCCCCCCCCCCCCCCCCCCCCCCCCCCCCCCCCCCCCCCCCCCCCCCCCCCCCCCCCCCCCCCCCCCCCCCCCCCCCCCCCCCCCCCCCCCCCCCCCCCCCCCCCCCCCCCCCCCCCCCCCCCCCCCCCCCCCCCCCCCCCCCCCCCCCCCCCCCCCCCCCCCCCCCCCCCCCCCCCCCCCCCCCCCCCCCCCCCCCCCCCCCCCCCCCCCCCCCCCCCCCCCCCCCCCCCCCCCCCCCCCCCCCCCCCCCCCCCCCCCCCCCCCCCCCCCCCCCCCCCCCCCCCCCCCCCCCCCCCCCCCCCCCCCCCCCCCCCCCCCCCCCCCCCCCCCCCCCCCCCCCCCCCCCCCCCCCCCCCCCCCCCCCCCCCCCCCCCCCCCCCCCCCCCCCCCCCCCCCCCCCCCCCCCCCCCCCCCCCCCCCCCCCCCCCCCCCCCCCCCCCCCCCCCCCCCCCCCCCCCCCCCCCCCCCCCCCCCCCCCCCCCCCCCCCCCCCCCCCCCCCCCCCCCCCCCCCCCCCCCCCCCCCCCCCCCCCCCCCCCCCCCCCCCCCCCCCCCCCCCCCCCCCCCCCCCCCCCCCCCCCCCCCCCCCCCCCCCCCCCCCCCCCCCCCCCCCCCCCCCCCCCCCCCCCCCCCCCCCCCCCCCCCCCCCCCCCCCCCCCCCCCCCCGATTTGGAACCCAGCTGATGGCAGATTTCACACTTTAGTCGACGGGGAACTGCTACATAACGCGAACTGAGATCTTCCAATTGCAAACGCAGGGCTCTACCAGTGCAACAGTAATAAATACACATATAAATGTATTCGTTATCATTTAACTGTTTCCTCCTACAGACAGCCAATCACATCCAAGGAAGGACCGGTATTCAAGTATTAACTTAACAAATAAACAAAGATTATGCAACGAACATTTAAAACGCTAGAGATGTTACTTGAGTCATGACATATGCTTTGTTTTCTTAATCTACTTGTGTATCCTAAAGTTTTATTAACCCAATGGTGCCGGGGAAAATGAACAAAAAATGGGGAAAATATTGTGCCCACTTTCTATGTTTTTCGTGAAATGTCTGCCGATAGATGGCTCTGCTAGCGCCTGATTTAAATGGCGGGAAAAACGTATTTTTTAACTAGTGCTATGAAAATCGATGGTGTCATTTTCATCATAAACATTATGATTTTTATAATGTTTTTTAACATTAGCAACAGCAAAATAAGATTACGTAAAATATTTCGTAAATCAAAGAAACGGGTAAACGGGCGAGACGGGCGGTGCTCGTAACTGGCTCATTGGGGAATTAGTACAAGTGTTGCCATCTATGCGTAAAAATCAAACAAGTACTCACTGTGGGCATAACACATACGTACACGTCATACCCGACACCAAGGGGCTAAGGCAAGTTACAGTGCCTTATTTATTCGGTAAGTTCTACTCGACCCTGCCTAAGATATGTGAAACTGTTGCTAATTTCAGAATGTTCGACTTGTGAATGGTTTCCTTGAGTCATCTTGAAATTACTTATCAATCTACTTGAATCTGTTAGTTTACTCGACTTTGAACTTGAAAACGAGACAGTTCACACGACCTGAAATACAACCAGCAGAAAAAACATTTAGGTTTCACTATCATTTATGTTTGTGTGGATAAAGGGTCTTAAGATGGAATTCAGTTTTATTGAAACTAAAAATACAGAACAAAGCTTCAACGAGAGGTTCGGGTCACAAGTCCAGCCACCACGCACTCCTTATCCATAGTAGTTGTAACCACCGTATGGGTTGTAGTTGAAGTTGTTGTAATAGGGCCTGTTGAAGTTGTTATAATAACCTCCATACGGATTTGCGAAGCCAGACACAGCACCCTGGAAAGCACCCTGAGCGGCACCGAGGAGATTGCCAAAGAAGAACCTATTTTGGCCCTGTCCTTGGCGGGCCTGGGTTTGGGACTGAGGGAGGGCCACGCACAGGCACACAACGGCCAACACCACTGCTAACTGGATCACGTGACGTAGCATCTGAGGACAGAAACGCGGACTCGTTAGGACTCTGGTAGTGAATCGGGAGAGCGGTTAGTCCTAGCAAAGGAAACAGTAGAGAGGATAGAAACAGACAGCAAGGGAATCGGCAACAGTGGAAGAAACGGAAACAGCAAGGGCAAAAGCAGAGGGAAGATAAACAGAGACAGCAAGGGAAGATGAAGAAACAGGGACAGCAAGGGCGGAGGGAAGAGAAACAGAGACAGCAAGGGAACCGTCAACAAGAGCAGAGGGCAAGAGCAGAGGGAAGATAAACAGAGACAGCAAGGGAAGATGAAGAAAACTGAGGAATGTGATGTGTTCAACTTATGATGATGGACCCTACGCTAAAGGTGTGTTTGTTATTTGTCTTTTGCAATAACTGTTGCAATCATGTTAGGAAAAAGACTGAGATGTATTTATAGTTTCAACATAATGCTGATGGTTATGGTTATTAACAAGGGTTTTTTATCAGTTTGGTGTGGGTTTGGTAAGTTTTACAGTGAGTATTCGTAGTAATATCACATTCTTAGCTATTTTATTTTATTAATAGTTGTGTCAATTAATTATACAATGCACATACATATGCCTATCCAATATATATGTGCAAATACAGACATGTACTGATATCAGCCTACCTATGTGTCATATATATATATAAACGTAAATATACATAGTATATACGTAAATATTATACTATCTGCATATGATTACAT